AATCTCAGAGTTACTTGAATACAGTATAGTGTGTAATATTAATCTGGAATAGCACCTATATTTGGTACTGAAAAGTACTGTATAGATTAGCAGTTGTATACCACTCATCTGTCCAACTCTTTTTCATGTTTTTTATTTATAAACAATTGTTTCATAAAATAGTAAAATTCAGGAACTTATTGATAAAACAGACTTGACTGCTGTCACATCTATCTATCATTAATGCCCTAAGGAATCTTGCAAATGTTGGTGGGAATGCTCTTAATTTTTTGCTGAAAGTCTTGATGATCTGCCACGGAATTGTAGTGAATAGGATTCTCTTGGGAAACTACTTGAAACCTATTACAGAAATATGGACTTGTTCACAAATACATTATCATATGTTAACCAACCTGTTGTTTATTAAAGTAGCCCAACTTCCAGAGGGGTACAACACACTGAACTATAACCAGCCAACCACATTTTAACATAAGATGTTGTACAAACACAACTTATATACTTCTAGCATTTTGCTCCAAATTTCACACAATAGGAAATACATATAGTATTGATCCAAAAAATACCTTTCTTGTTGTTCAGTCATTCACTTTGGATTCTGTGTGACCTGACAGACATCATTTCACTAGGATTGTCTGCCAGTAGCTGCATCTTTGGGTTCTTGTAAGCTCATGCTTGTCTATAAGTAATAGTATCTGGCCACCTTGGCTTTGATTGCCCTCTCTTTCAATTGCTTTTGATTTTTTCAAGGATCAGGGTCTTCTTCCATGATTCTTGCTTTCATATTTTGTGTCCAAAATATGTGTTTTCAGTTTTATTATTAGTGTTCCTAATGAACAGACCGGTTTTACTTCATGTAATATCAAATGATCCTCTTCTGGTCCAAGGCATTCTCAACAATTATCTACAGCACCACAACTCAAAGGCTCAATTTTTCTTTGTTTCTGATAAAGCCATATGTTGTTAAGAATGGTAGAACTATGGTCTGGATTATGCATACCTTAGTAGCCAGTGTGATGGCTCGGCACTTTAATATCTTATCTAGGTCGGGCATATACTGTCTTCTGAGTAACAGGCATCTCTTTATTTCATTGCTATTATCACCATCCCTCTGAATTTTTGAGCTTAAGAATATAAAAATCTGGTATTAGTTCAGTTTCTTCTTTGCCTATTTGCAATTGGCTTGGCATTGCCTGTTGACATAGTCTTAGGAGTTTTTTAAAAATTATATAGCAGACCAGCTTTTGTACTCTGTTCTTTCACCTCAACAAGGGATTAAATCTTCTGTTCCTCCGGCTATCTTAGTGGCGTCATCTGTATATCTGAGGTTCTTGAGGTTTCTCCCAGCAATTTTAATTCCAATTTCTGGTTCTTCCAGTCCAGCATTTCATTCATTCATTCATTCATTCATTGATAGATAATGAAATAAAGCTGCAAACTCTCCCCCTCCCCTGTCTGTTGCTGCAAAGTCTTCCCCTCCCTCTCCTCTGCTGCTCTTGTTCCCGCCCCCCCCACTTGCATATGTAAAATAGGACTTCACCCAAGAACAATCAGGTTTCCACTGCTGAAATAGCCCTCTTAACACTATCACAGCAAAAACAATGAGAAAGCTCTCACCTATTTGCCTAAAGGTTCTCTTAGGAGCAGCCCCAATGAGGATGCTTTGTTAAAACAAGGTGAGACAGCAGGCATTCGTTATCTCAAAATCCCACTCCTTGTTAGCCATGGAATCCTTAGCTCAGGTCTGTCACAGAGGTGCGACTTTTGTTTTACAATAGAAAAGCACTTTCCCCTGTTTAACACCTATCTCACTTCCGCAAAAAAAAAAAGAAAAAAAACACCTTGCCCAGCGAATCAGATCTCTTAGATTTCCCACCTCTCAACTCCAAAGTATATAAGAATCTCTGCTTTCTATTGTTGGGGGTCCCTGTTTCTTGGAAAGCAGACACTCAAGGATCATTGTAATAAACATGATTCTTCTCCTCAGCATTGTGTTCCTTTCTTTGGCAAAAATTCCATGACTGTGTGTGTGTGTGTGTGTGTTTACAGTAGTACTGTAAATAAATAAGGGGAGGCCTTGACACACTGCTTTCCTAACTTTGAACCTTTTCGTTGTTCCTTATTCTGTCATCACTGTGGCTTCCTGGTCATCATACAAATTCTTCAGTAGGCAGCTGAGCTAGCCCCACACACCCAGTATTTAAAAGCTATCCACGATCTCCTGTGCTCTACACAGTCAAAAGTCTTTCCATAATCAAAAAGCAAGTTTTTTGGAACTCTATTGTCTTCATTATCCATCAGATATTACCAGTGTGATCTACCTGCCTCTGCTGAATCCAGCCTGTACATCTGGCAGTTCTCATTCTGTGTCTTGTTAAAGTCTCAACTGCAGAATCTTCTTACTTACCAGCATGAGAGGTAAGTGCAGTTTTTAGTAGTTTGAACATCTATAGCACTGCCTTTTTTGGTATTGGAATGTAAATTTGTTATTGGAATATAAATTTACCTTTTCCAAGCCACTGGCCACTGCTGCCTTTCCATAACTTCCATAAATTGCAAGTAGCACTTTCACTGGGCCCTCTTGTAAAGTTTTAAGGAGTTCTACTGGTATTTCATCAGTTCCTGCAGCTTTGTTGTTTGCAATATTTTCTATGGCCGATTTATCTTCACTTTCCAGAATGTCTGGTCCTAGTTCAGTGATCCACTTTTGTACATATTGATTTTGGGATATTTTTTGTACAGATTCACTCTATCTCTTCATCTTCTTCTCCAGTAATGCTTTGCTTTGTTTTTATCACGCCCATGTTTGCATAAAAATTCCCTTGATTTCTGTAATCTTCTTAAATGAATCTCTTGACCTTCCCAAATTATTGTTATCCTCAATTTCTTTGCATTATTTACTTAGGGTTATAACTCATCTCTTCTTGCTCTTCTCTGGAACTCAATTTTCGTTGGGCACATTTTTCTCTGTCTTCTTGTCTTTTGCTTCTGCCCTTTTCAGCTATTTTCAGCATGGCATATAAAATTAATAAATAAATGTCAGCAGGCAGCCAGTTCATACTGCCTGCTGTTTGCCCCAATGCAAAGAGCAGGCAGTATGCTCTTTGCATTTGGGGATATTTCAATTGCTTCATTTCTAACGATGTCACAAACTTCAGTCCAGAGTTTGTCAAATCTAATCTATTAAATTTATAATTTAATTTCACCACATAATCATATGGAATATCACTGAGGTTATATCTTGTTAGTCTATTGTACTTGGGTTTTTTTTCCTTTAGGTGAAGTTATAATTTTGTAAAAGGGAGTTAAAGAGACACCGTCAGTACCATGTCTTGTTTTTGCTGACTGAATAGAGTTTCTTTGCCTTTGCTTCCAGAATATATAATCAGTTTGATTTTGGTGATATCCATCTGTCTGTGTGTAGAGTCATCTTTAAGTTATTACTATATTTAATAAACTTGAATTTTTTTTGGCAGAACTCTTATTAGTTTGTCTCCTGCTTTGCTTCAGTCACTGAGACCAAATTTTCCTATTATTTCAGACGCTATTTTACTTCCAATTTGAGCATCTCAGTCTCCTGTAATTAGTATGTCGTCGTTTAGGAGAGTGGTGTTGACAGGACATTGCAAGGCACCATAAAAATAGTCAGTTGTTCAGCTTCTGCTTCCTCTACATCTGTGAACATTGTAATATTGATTAGATTGCCCTGAATTGAGTTTAAATTATTGCATCATATCCAAGCTCTGACTTTGACAGATGTTAAAACAATGGCTACTCCATTGTAGCCATTTACTACATACTTTCTTGTATGATTTTCTTGCCTGCAACAGAAGTTCTGCTGTTCCTCCGATGAGAAGTAACCATTTCAGTTTGCTCATTCCCAAAATGCAAACATGGAATATGGAATTTCTTGATTTTTCTTCTCTGCCCTCCAGGTTAGGATGGGGAACTATATTTCTTTGAAAGAACATTGGCTCACAAAAAATTGAACAGTAATTCATCATGTTGTATTATAGCTTCTTAACTACATCTTTGGATCTTGCAAAGCCTATGACATGCATAGTACAAGTCAATGATGAGGATTTTCATAAATGTTGTCTACCTCTGGGCTGGGCTTGTACAAGATGTCATTTAAAGGGTGAGCTTTTATTCAAAGTGACAGAAGCCTACAAATTTGTACTCCTGCGCATTTAATAAAATTGACCTTTACAAGCTACCAGTTCATATTGCTGAAAAGCAGACTGGGCTTCAGGTTTTCAGGCACATGGAACAACCCTTCAATCCAAGGAGCTTTGCAAGGGGGGGTATCTCTGTTCATTCAGCAGTGACACAAACACATCTATTGATGCTGCAAACAGGCCAGGAAAAGGAATTCATCACGCTTCCATAAAATAAGGCATAATCTGCTTGTTTAACATGCTAATATGAGAATATTATGGTCAATATCCCACCACTTTAATACCTCTTTTATATGCATTTGAATAACAGTTTCTTGAGAACAAAATCAAAGATTGTGATTTTAGGATTTCTCCAGGTGAGAATAAATTTATTGTATTGAGGCACACCTAAAAATTATAGATTGGTCAAAATCCCTTGTAATCTCCAGTTAGTTCTGAAGCAAAATGTTAAGCCAAATATTTGGGCTTCAATTAAAAAATGCAGCAATGTGCAGCTGAAATTGCCACATTTAGATTCCATTTCTGCACAAAAGTTAGGAACAGTCTTAAATCTCTACCACTTGGAAAAAGATGAGAAAAATGTTCTTAACTTTGACTGGATCATGTCCATGTTATACAAAGCTTTCAAAAGGAAGTGTGTGAAAAAAGTCTATTAATGAATAGTTGTCAACCACACAAATTTTGTTTTCAACCCTACTGATTTGCTGGGAGACATTCAAGCATATGTGTAACTTGGAGAGCAAAGCATCTTTCTTGAGTGCAAAGACTGCCTCCACAATCACAGGACAGCCCTAAACCTTGCCCTCTCCACTACCCCCCACTCACCTTCAGAGCTATTTCTCCTTGCCTATGGCCTGTCAAGGCATGGGAGAAACCATCATCCCAGAGGAGGGTCCACTGAAGGGACAGGAGCTTGCAGAGGCAATTCCACATCTGTCTCAGATCCTCAGCCCTCATTCTGCAACTATTTGAAGCTATTCAAGGGACAGAGGTATTACTGTTACTAGACATCATGGCAAGGCATCCTATCTTTCTAGTGCCCAAAGTTAGCAAACTCTAACCAGTCCACATCACAGTCATTTAAATCCTAAAATCCTAAAGAGATCTCAGAATCCTCCTTCCATATCAGACTTCCTGGGATCCTGTGTTATTGAGATGGGATCAACAGCTGTCTGCTCCTGCTAAACTACAACTTGTTTCTCGCAATCTGCCCATCATCTCACCATCTCACCTCTTCCATTCCCACCAGTCCCTGCAAGTTCACTTCCTTTAACTTGTGCTTCATTTGGGACAATTAGAACAACTGAAATGATGTGAATTAATCTGAATTCTGGATTTAGGTTCTGGATTTAAGGTCTAATCCTCAGGTGCTCAGAATACCAACACCTTCAACCTCTACTACACTGGCCTTCCTTTGCAACCTACTCCCAGGCAAATATACAAACAAATATTTTTATGTCTGATGGCTCTGGTTCGGGTCCGGTTCAGGTAACATGACATAACATAATAAACCACTGTTAAGCAGAACATGTTTTAGTATACCTAAATCCAATCAGGGCTCAGGCAACACATGAAGCCATGGTTAGCTTAATACAGTGCATTCAGTAAGCTGAGTATCACTCTATGCCATGATTAACCACAGTTTATAGATAATCCGCAGGCCTTCCAAACAAGCCATATTATGTTTTAGCGCAATGCGACTAATCATGGCTTAGCCGCGCCCGGCGGAGAAGGGAGCAGGAGGGCCCGGGGAGAATGCCAGGAGCCCCTGGAAGAACGTTCCGGGCTGGCCGCTCCGGAAGACGCTCCGTGGGTTCCGCAAGGCCGCCTGCTCCGAGCACAACTGCTGCC